AAGATCATAATATCACTTCACAACTAAATTTAATAATCTATAAAGCACATATACATGTTTATAATATTATATAGTTAAATATAAGGACACATTAAAAAGGAGAAAAAACATTAAATAACAAAACATAAACAAAAAATAATAACAAATACTACCTCTTTTCCATATGAATAAAGTTATGGGAGAAACTGTTTCATAAAGATACACTTTTTTAAAAACAAAATTATTCTATTTGATAATATTAAATTATATTTTTAATAAAATAATAGATTTTTCAAATTAATATTAGTTTACTTTTGCTAGAAATATTTGTTATTTCTTACGTTTTGGGTAAAGTCATAGAGATGTATGATAATCAATTTTAATTGAACAACAGAGCTATGTGAAGTTTAAAAATGAGCTCAAGATTGGAATGACAACAAGATTAAATATGCAACATGTGGTGTTATTGAACTTTTTCCTCAAATGAGTGATTGTGATAAAATGTACATTCTTCTTTTTAACAAGTTAAGTTTTATAAAATTAGCTATTGATGAAAATATATTTTCATTACTCTTATCAAATTAATTTTTCCTCCTTTCAGAAAAAAAAACCGTTCATCCTATATTTTAAACGGATAGTTTTGGAATCTGAAATTGAATAATGTTTGCTATTTCTCAATTTCAGATCTCTTACCAGCTTAACACAGAATTTTTCCAATGTGTTTCCAATATCTAATGTTTGTTTATTTCTTAGTTTCATTTTATTAACAACCACATAGTTTGTTTATGTTTATATATATATATATATATGAAAATTCTGCAATATTTGATATTACACAATGAAATTAATTATAAAATTTTAAAAGTAATTATCTGCGCATAGCGCGGAAAACGATCTAGTAAATATAAAATATAAATTCTAGACGTAAGGAAATACAATAATATTTTCTTCCCAAGTTGAAGAGAATTACTTTCTTCATTTATAATATTAAGGATTTTTAGTGATTTAATACCTCAACTAAAGATCAATCGTAAAAGAAACCCCCAACTATAAATAATGTGAAATAAACCCTTAACTTTATATCCGTTAATGTTTTCACCCCTCTGTAACTTTTATCGTAAACAGTGAACATCTCCCGTTAAAATAAAATGATGCGTTTTACTGAGAGAGAAATGACAACATATTTCCACAAAACAGCATGATGTTTTTCTTAAAACGACAAGGAGTTGATAACACAACAGTTATATCGGGGAAGTCGATTAATTTCCCCCAATTCACTTTGGACGAACCCTAATTTTCCAATCGATGAATCCGTGATTGTTGGGTGTGCGTTTGAGAGCGAGAATCTTGTTGGAGATAATGAATTTTCCAAGCCCAAAGTTAGTTCTTCGTTTCTTCCTTTCCTTTCTTTTCATTCTCCTTGCTCTTAGTACTTGATTCATAATCTAAGCGATTTCATTTGCTTATAGGAATTTCTTCTTTCGTTTGTGGATTGGTGGATATTGGTGTTCAGATGGATCTTACAATGGTGGTCGGACTAAATGTTGTCGAGTGGATTTCAGAAGACCAATACTTGAAATGCTCAAAGATGTAGTCTTGACGAGTGGTTATGGAGAGAATATGTGTAAGTTTTCTTACTTCCCTGGTACTCGAGTTGTTGGAGCTGATCGTGTCGACTTGGTAACTGATAGTGATGTAGAAAAGATGATTAGATCTTCAGACGAAATGGATAGCATGAATATATATGTCGTTAGGGTAGATGATCCATATTTAGATGATGTGCTTGTGGGAAATCTAGATGTCAAGGAGGAACAAGAAAATGTGGATGAGTCATGTGATTTTTGTAGAAATGACTACGTTGAGAGAGATGGGTCTGATGATGATGAAGATCGCCGAATTGAGCTTTATGTAGGTCAAGAGTTTGTGACGAAAGAAAAGTGCAGGGAGACCATCCAGAAGTATGCTATTAAAGAGAAGCTTAACATACATTTCCAGAGATCTGAAAAAGAAGAAGATAGCTGCAATATGTGGGCAAGAGTGTTGCAAGTGGAGATTGTATGCTTCCACTAACAGCCAATCAGACAAGATGGTTATAAGATAACTGGTAGGACCCCACAGTTTTTACCCTATAGGTGTTGTTGACTTATATAGCGCACCAAAGATTGCTGCAGCTTTTTTAAATGAGCTCAGGCAGAACCCAAAGCTATATGCGGAGAAGATTATGCAAAGATTGGCTTTAATAGGTCTTCGGGTTACAAAAACCAAGTGTCAAAGTGCTAGCAAGATTATGAAACATATCATAAGTGATGAGTATGCAGAGCAGCTTACAAGACTATATGATTATGTTGAGGAGCTAAGGAAGACTAATCCTGGTTCTACAGTTATATTAGGGAAAAAGGACATGATTTTTGAGAAGTTCTACACATGCTTTGAGTCTCAGAAAACAGGCTGGAAGAGTTCATGTCGTCGTGCGATTCATTTAGATGGAACTTTTTTAAAAGGACGCATGAAAGGGATATAGTTAACCGCGATAGGAAGGGGTCCTAACGATGCCACATATGTCATCGCTTGGGCTATTGTACCAGTCGAGAACAAGGTCTACTGGAGGTGGTTTATGGAATTATTACAGGGAGATTTAGGATTAGAGGAAGGAAATGCTCTTGCATTGCCTTCAGATCAGCATAAATGACTTATATATGCCGTGAAAACCATCTTGCCTTATGGAGAAGAGGAAGCGTAGTTTGAAGTGGTGTACTCCATTTTCAAATGGAAAAGGCATCTATGAAGTTGATCATGGGAAGCACAAGTACGTTGTTCATGTCAGAGATAAAACATCTTGTACTTGTCGAGAGTATGATGTGAGTGGCATACCTTGTTGCCATATCATAAGTGCAATTTGGGCTGAGTATAAGGAAACAAAGCTACCAGAAACGGTTATTTCAGAGTGGTATTCAGTGGAGAAGTGGAAGATTTGCTATAGCTCACTTTTGTTTCCTGTGAATGGGATGGACTTGTGGGAAACACATAGTGATGTTGTTGTTATACCTCCTCCAGACAGGATAATACCAGGACGACCCAAAAACAATGATCGAATCAGAGATCCAAGCGAAGAGCGGCCATCACAAAATTCTCAAAAAGCTCCAGTGGTAATGTCTTCTATCTCTTTACCTCTTACACGTTGTATTTTAACAAGATTAATGTCATTTCTCTTATGCAGACTTGTAGTAATTGTCTCCAAATCGGCCATAATAAACGGTCATGCAAAGAAGTTGTGGTTCATGTGACTCCTAAACTGGCTCTCCCTGCCAATGTGGCCGAAATTTTCATCTTACCATGCCAATGCTGTGATGGTAATTACCTAACTCTCCCTTATGTATATTGACCATTATGATTCACTCATTGGCTTCTACTCCATTTTACAGACTTGTAACAATTGTAAACAAACATGACACAATAAGCGGAAATGTAAAACTGATCCAGTACTTAAGCCATCAAAATTGCCTCGTGGCAGACCTTTCAAGAACCCAAAGGCAACAACTCAAGTTCCAACCGATGGAGATGAACTTTGATTTGTTTTTAGTGTTGCAAAGCTGTTAATATTGTCTTGGTAATGTCTTTTGTAACAACTCTTCAGTATTTAGGATGATGGGATAACGTATTTTGTAAGAACTCTGCAATATTTAGGATGATGGAATTATGTCTTTTGTAACAACTCTTTTGCAACTTATGTTTTCATCGATGTGCTCAAGTGCAAGAAATATTAGTCAACACAAACTCATGTCATAAGCATCATAATTAAACATCAGATAAGCCATAAACAACAACAATACCACAACCATAGTCATAAACAACAACAACAACAATACCACAACTGAGACTACTTAGAACAAAAAACAACCCAGAATACTTAGAACAAACAACTAAGACATCTAAGACTTCATCCTAAGACACTCAATAATTCCATTGATCTCACTGATGTCCTTCTTCTTATAAGCAAGGTCTGATTTTATGTCAACCAAATCTTGCTCTATCACCCCCAATTTGTTTCCCACACTTTCAAATTCTTCATCATGTGCTTCATCAAGCCATTTATAAACATGATTTCCACCCAAAATTGCTCCACATCAATAGAACATTCTTTCTGGATTCTTTGCGGTATTTGCCTTCAACAAGATAGTAGCAGCTCCACATTCACACCTCCTTGGAATTCCACGCCCTAGATCCATCAAATTCAACCTCACAACAAAGAGATTTAACTTAAATCTGGACAAAGACCAAAACAGAAAATATTCAAATCGAGTTTATAGAATCATGTAAGGAAATCACTATGATGTCAAATATTTATATAGATGAAGAACCATGACTTACCAACCAATCCCTTCTCACACTTCTGAAGAATCCTAATTTTTTTATTTTGGGGGTTTTGGAAGGTGTCTCACGATTTTAACTTCTCTGAAGAAACATGCGGTTGTTTCTCTCTCAGTAAAACACATCGCTTTAATTTAACGGGAAACGTTCACTGTTGAGGATAAAAGTTACGCAAGGATGAAAACATTAACAGATATAAAGTTAAGAATTTATTTCACAGGATTTATAGTTGGGGTAGGTAATAAATCACTAAAAATCCTAATATTAACTAGTTGTGATAATTATTATAGATAGTTATGTATTTGCAAAATAAATCAAACCTTTAACTAGAGATGCGTGCATGTCGGGAGCCGGGTTTTATTGGTAGCCGACTGACAAGGACGCTTTTAATTGGCCAATCAACGTGTAAACTCATCCACGTGGCGTTTTCTTCAGAAGGAAGCAGGGAAATTGGAAATTTGAAACAAGTCTATGAAGAATAGTCCTCTCCTTTTATGACCCCACAAATTCCCCAATATTACAAAGTTGGCCTCTTTGTTTTCTCCTCCTTTTTATTGTCTCTTGATTTACGGAACCAAATCTAACTCTCTTTCTCTTTCTGTCTCCGCCTTCGATTCGTGAGAAGCAAAGAAAGAGAGAGAGAGAGAGATTCAATGGAGTTAGCTTCCTTCGTCGGTAGAGCTCTGTTCGTTTCCGTATTCCTTCTCTCCGCATGGCAAGAGTAAGCAACTTTCTTCTTCTCGTTCTAGATCTGCTCTTCCTTTGACCTTTATATTGTAATCTTGAGTTTAGTAGGATCTGTGCCTGTCTTGGATAATAAGTAGATTATAGCTTAGCTAGCTCGTAATGAAACATGATTTTAGGTTTCTACTCACAATTATAGCTTAGTGAATGAGTTTTGGGAAGAGAACACATGGATCTTGCTTCTCTAACATTTGCTTCATTTGATGTTTTAATCATCCGTTTCTCTAATTTTGGCACTTGGTTCTTGAGTTTGTTGATCTGAAAGTTGCTAGTTGAGTTGGTCGTGTAATAAGTGATATCATTTAAGACAAGCAATGCTTTCTTGTGTTACTTTCTTGTGTTTGTGCTTTCCTAGACAGATATTGTTTAAGTTCATATTATCTCTCTTGGCTCTCTAATTAAAAACTACCATATTTCTCTTTGCTTTATTGATCGAGCAGGTTCAATGGTTTTGGCGATGATGGAGGTCGAGCAGCTAAATCTTTAAGACCAAAGTTCAATGCTTTTGTTAGCCACGTGACTACTCATACTGGCCAGCAATTGCCACCAGTTGATGTAAGTGCTTATATTCATATTCTACTCTCTAGTTATTAATAATAAAATAGCTTCTGAGTCTTCTTGTGTTGTTTGTTCAGATGAAGATTCTTGTTGCTGCTGCTATCGCCTTGAAGGGCATTGGTGGACTTTTGTTCGTCTTTGGCAGCTCTTTGGGAGCTTATCTCTTGGTATGTAACAACAACTCTTCTTTTTCCAAAGATTTTAGTATTTTTTAACTGATTAAAGACGAGTGAAAACTCTCTTTGAAATGTGGTTTCAGCTTCTGCATCAAGCCGTTGCCACCCCGATTCTGTATGATTTCTACAACTACGATGTTGACAAAAAGGAATTCAGTCAACTGTTTTCCAAGTTTACTCAGGTTAGCGTTTTTAGTGGTTGAAATTTGATTTCCATTTTCGGTCTTGATCCAAAGCTAAGATATCCTTTTTTATTTGACACTTCTTCAGAGCTTGGCACTCCTTGGGGCACTACTCTTCTTTATTGGAATGAAGAATTCGAGGAGACATGGCAGGCAACTCCGGAAGAAGGCTCCAAAAGCTAAAGCAAACTGATAGAAAGGATGCTTTCATCGGTTTGTTCAAGCTTTGGTCTGTATTTTTATTTTTATTTTGGTTTAATGCAATGAGACCATGGGAGAGGCAAAATCTTTGCTTATTTCCTTGCTTTTTGGTTCTCTAGAGAAATACCATTTCAATTTCGGATTTAACTTTTTCTTTTTGAGACGCAGTTTCATCGTGTGGTACACTTAGTTTAGTTGTGGTAAGAGTTCTTTGCTCGACCATATATAACCCATTTTCACTTTCTTAAAATGACAGCTAAAATGATGCTGAACAAGCATGGTTTTATTTTACGGGACTCATTACATTATACGATAAGATAAAAAAATGTGAGATTTTGTAAGAAGAAAAGTTAATAGCAAGAAGCTCTCGTAGTTCGGTTGGTTAGGGCACCCGTTTAGTAAGCATTAGGTCTTGAGTTCGACGTAGACCACTTTGTCTTTTTTGTCCACTGTCCAGAACACCAGAGTCAACGTCTCTATATGCATAAAACCCACAAAGGAACAAGATTCCTTGTAACCAAGTTGGCGAAACAAAAATAGGAGTTGAGAGTTTAAGCAGGCATGAAGCCTAAGCTCTTGATCAAAAGAGATCTTGAATTCGACTCTCAACTAGAACATTTTGTCTTTTTGTCCACTATGTCCAGAACACAGAGTCAAAATCTCTATTTACATAAAACACACAAGGAACAACAAGAATCTTGTGTTTCAAAAAAAAAAAAAAAGAACAACAAGAATCTTTATAACCAAGTTGATAATCAGATATCTCATGTCTAAATAGGAGGAGTTGAGAGTTTAAACAGGCAGGAGGCCTAAGCTCTTGATCACAAAAGGTATCACAAACAGACTGAGCAAGTAATGCCACATTGACTACTCGGATAAACAGCCGTCTTGTTCTCATCAAATGGAGCTGGAATCTTAGCCTAGGTATGAATCCTGAAGATGGAACCATCATAGACTTTAACTACTCTTCAGTTCTCTCCTTCGCCTTCAACGAAATTACTTTGTGTTTGAATGTTACTAGTGAATTTGGACATTTTGTGCTGTTTGTTGGTATCAGGTTGCAATGCTGAGGCTCCTTTGTAGGGTTGGATCTGGTCATAAACTAGTGAAACATTGGTCTTAGTCCTCAAAATTTTTGGAGATTTTTTACATAAACATAGGCTTCCAATTTTTGTTTTTTTTTTTTAATTATTTAAGTTTTTTTAAAAAGCATTTCAAGTCCCAAAATCCCAGATTCGGCTCTGCTCCTCTGTATCATGCTACAAACGGTGTCTCGAAATACCGTTAAGTTAGTTCTTTCCCATGGTGGTAAAATTTTGATCTCTTTCTTGCCAATCTGCTGACTGAAAAGCTTTTTAAGAAAAAAATATTAAGGCTTTTTTAATTCATGAATTCTTAAGCCGAAGCCTATTTAAATGTAAGTGAAGCATTTGAAAACCTTTAGATACAACCTTGGCAATGGGTCAACAAGACATAACCCTTCCTGCAAACACAAAATAAAAAAAACATAGAAAAACAATCACCATCTTAAGTAAGCAGCAAAGAACTTATGGAACAATTTAAACCTGGTGCTTATGTTACTTATGCACTGCACAAAGACGACGGAGGATCTTTTGAAGTGGTTTCAAGTATTTAACTTCTTAACCTTTTCTCTCTTCTTTGTCTAGATTTTATAATCATATGTTTTCTTTGCAGTAAACGGGGATGTGAGGATCATAAGGCAAAAGATGGATTACTAAGAGGTACTCATCATGTTTACAGTTTGTAAAACAGACTCGAGAACAAAGCATCACTGGAATGTCACTAATGTAGAACTAGTCATTGAAAATAGGTACACCAGGATTCACATTCCTTACGGCTGAGTTATATATTTTATGTGACTGAGTTACGTGTTCTTTATGGCTGAGTGAAGTATACTATGTGGCTGAGTTAAATATACTATGTGGCTGAGTTTAGTATACAATGTGGCTGAATTTAGTATTCTTTGTGACTGAGTTAAATATACTATGTGGCTGAGTTTAGTATACTATGTGATTGAGTTATGTGTTCTTTACGGCTGATATAGATTTGTTTATATTGACTTGATTTTGTGTTTTTGCATAGCATGTTAATGCGTTTCTACGAGTCCTCATCAAAAGGTCCATACGAGATCCCACCCCCTTCTGGTCCAAGCGCATTGCATTTGTTGACGTTTGATTTCTCAGTGTATGGGTTCACGATTACAAGCAGTACAAACTAAATCCGTCGCGGATGAAATTCAAAGATAATGGCTATGAAGAGTTAATAAACGGTAGGATGCCCAGAGACTGTCGTACAAACTTGAAGTGGTATGAGGATGTGGATCACCTATACGGAGTGCTTCAAACTTCAGGCGACACTACAAGAAAACACGTCCTTTACTAGGACGGGTTTTCCTCGTTATTTCCTAGTAAATGGCCCTCTACTAGGAAATAACGAGGAAACGTGTTTCGTCGAAAGACGTTCATCGTAAATCCTATTTTCCTCGTAATTGCCTAGCTAATTTACGAGGAAAAGTTTCCTCGTAAAGACGTGGAAAAGGTCTCCTTGTAAGCTCCACGTAGGCTTTCCTCGTAAGGGCATAGTAAACTATTTCCTCGTAACCTCGTAGTAGGTTCTTTACGAGGAACTTTCTAGGAAAGTTTACGAGGAATTTACTTCGAAACCTTTACGAGGATTTTGCTTCGAAACAATTTTTTCCTATTTAAAAAAAATATTTATAAATTAAAATTATATATATTAAAAAAAATTTAAAAAATAAATAACAAAATATTTATAAATAACTAAATAATATACAATTAATAAGTTTTAAAATTCATAATATACAATTAAAAACTAAAAAAAAAAACTAAAAAGGATGCTGGTCTTGAAATTGGTTCACGAAGTCATCGTCTCCAATGTTGGATGCCGGCTGTGACTGAGATGGTGGAGGCTCTTGGGATGGAAGGGCTCCGCTTTCCCGTCTCTGACGCCACACTTCCGCCACTTGCGGGTTTCCAACCGCCACAATGTCGAGGATATCCGTGAGCGTACGCACATGAGACCGCGTCGCCTGCAACTCCGTCCGCAGCTGAGCATTGTCATCGGCTTGTTGGTGAACATAAGCCGATGTCACTGCGGGGACATCGTTAACCGAGCCAATCCCGATAACACGGCTTTTTTTCCTCGGAACGACCTGTAAATTAAAATATTAATAACCGAAGCAAAAAATTTAAATAAATAAAAAAAATTAATATATTAAAAGAAATTATTTACCTCCTCGTAAATCTTATCCACTTCAAGAGTAGATACTACGACCGGAGCCCCAGTCTGCTGAGTCAACTGGGTCTGGCGCTCGTCAACTCGAGCAGCAACCTCGTTGTAGATCCGCTCGGAAGCAGGATCTACAAACTCCCCACTCTTCCTCCGGTGGGTCCGCTCGTAAAGGTCTTTCAGAGATGGAAGAACTCCTGTCTCTTCCCCCTTTTTTTTTTAAAATTAAATATTAATTTAGAATATTAGAATATTAAAATAAATTAAAAATTTAATAGTTATAAAAAAATACCATGTCTAGACGAACTCCCCCGTGAGGTTTTCGGCCCGTGGTGTGAAGTATCTTCGTGTTGCCATGCTCGTCTGTGGCCATGCGGTTCCCGGAGTTTGTATTGGACGTTCTGATCGAATCCGGCAACGTCCAATAGCTGATGAGGCCATCCCACACCGTGGTTGTGAGGCANTAAAAATTTAATAGTTATAAAAAAATACCATGTCTAGACGAACTCCCCCGTGAGGTTTTCGGCCCGTGGTGTGAAGTATCTTCGTGTTGCCATGCTCGTCTGTGGCCATGCGGTTCCCGGAGTTTGTATTGGACGTTCTGATCGAATCCGGCAACGTCCAATAGCTGATGAGGCCATCCCACACCGTGGTTGTGAGGCAATCGGGTTTCCCGCGCTCGTAACCGTTCACCTGATTTGAATTAATAATTAGAATTAAATTCAATAATATATATTTTTAAAACTATAATTAATATATATTATAATTTTTAAATTTAATTATATACCTGAAAGTCGCCCTTCCAGTTGTAGACCATATCGCACAATCGTGCTTTTGCCTTGGTCTCGAACTCTGACTTCACCCGCTGGTGAATCCCAATAGACCAACGGTATTTTTACTGCAACCAGAAAAAATAAAAGACGGATTAGTTCAATAAAATTCATAATTTTAAATGATTAAAAATAAATAAAATTGATTTACTAAACTTACAGCGAACGATTTGAACCACGTCTTTTTGGTGTGGCTCGCCGTCAGCTTCCAGTTTGGAGCTGCATCGGGAAAGTATCCCTTGATACAGTCCGTGACGCTAGATCCGACAGCATTGTCAAGACCAAACCTGGAAAGACAGAAAATAAATCATTAATTAGAACATATATATATATATACCATAACACTTTCTAAAAATTAATTAATAAAAAAATGTAAAATTAAAACGTACCATAATACCTTTTGACCGTCCCGTTGGAAAGGATCTAACTCTGGCAGCCCTTTTCTGCCTGGAAGGGCCAAGATATCCTCCACCGTGTACACCGCAAATGGTGCGTTCGGCGGCACCTGCAAGTCAGGATGAATCCCGACCGGTGGAGGAGGAGGAGGAGGAGGCTGAGGAGGTGGCTGCTGAGACCGGGATGCCGTAAAACCTCCCTGAGTCTCGGGAACTCCCGAAGGTGAACCACCGGGAGCTGACGAAGACGAACCGGGCCCGAATATATCCGCATAATGAATCCCCTGATCTACAGGCCTCCTGGACTGAGCAGCAGCAACTTTGCTCTTTCTAACCATCTAAATTTAAAAAAAAACAGAAAACAAAAAACAGTTAAACAAACGTAATTTAAAATTCATAATCGAACCACCTAATCTAAATTCCCTAAACTAACCACCTAATCTAAATTCCCTAAACTAACCACCTAATCTAATCACCTAACTATGAACTAGAGAGTACCTTAAGAGAATATGGAGAGGAACTTACTATGACTAAGAAGTCGGATTGCTCGTGTATATATAAGGAATTTTGTTTCCTCGTAAAGCTCTAGTAATATTACTAGGGCTTTACGAGGAAACAGCTATGCCCGTGTTTTCATTTCCTCGTAAGGTCCTAGTAAGGTCCTAGAAATAGTATCACTAGGACTTTACGAGGAAAATCTTTACGAGGAAATAGCTATGCCCGCGTTTTTTCCTCGTAAATTCCTAGTAATGCTTACGAGGAAATAGCTATGCCCGTGTTTTCTATTACTAGAGCTTTACAAGGAAAGGGTTTGTAATTCCCTAAA